GACCCTTATACGAAGCATATTTTCGAGTTGGGGACGAAAGATATTATTATGAAATTGGTTTTCAGGCGAGTTACAATGTTTTTTTAATACTATCAACCCACTGTCTATCGTGACGTAGCTTAAATATTGCTGACTGTGGCTTAAAAAACATTCTGTCGCGTAGTATACTTCACAGGGAGCTGAGAATGAAAATCGAGTGCATACTGATCTATTGACCTGGGTAGCACTTTGAGCGTACTTCAGGCTCTGTATTTGTCCCATTATTAATACGCAGAGGCATATTTATTATAATTTTTATTATCAGCAACTCACTGTGCATGGTGGAGTATTGTTGACTGTGGCTTTAAACAACATTCACTAACGTACTATACTTCCCAGGGAGCTGAGAATACCAATCGCGTGCATAGTGATCCATTTACCGGGGTAATAATGTAGCACTTTGAGCATGTTTTAGGGTGTGGATTTGGTGCGTTATGGATATGCACATTAGTCTCATTTTAATATCAGCAACCCACTGTTCACTGTGAATACTGGAATACTGCTGACGGCGGTGTAAAGCGACATCCACGCACGCGTACAATCAACATCATAACGAAACTAAGTAGGTGGCCCTGAAAGCATAAGATTGAACAAGGTTGTTAAGATCAAACATTTGACTACACTTTTATTCGACAAGTACCCGTTTTGCTTGCAACGAAACATAAAATATATGGGTCACGTCCGTACTATGCTGTTGGCACTGCCATACAATTTATGATACATAAGTAGAATATTAATGATAGCAATAATAACGTCGTGGTGGCTGCAAGACATTGACCAACATTGTATGATGTAGGGATTCATGCCCCCATGCAGAACCTCGTTAATCCAGACTCGATCTACGTTGAAGCGATACGGGTCTAACACATACTGTTACATTATTACATATGTGACCCGCCAGGAGAAGAAGGGGCCTTATGGGTGCTAGGATACAGTTGTGCTATGATGTCATAAAGACGTTTGACGTCAACATACTTCAGTCAGGATCGCCTTGTGTGCGGACTGTACAAACATATCTTATTTATCGTTAGTTCGTAATGTAATACAAACATTATTTCAAAACCTTTCAGTAAATGTTTAATTTCATTTCATCTGACATGTCAAAAACTGCAATTATTACTTAACAGTTATAAGTTGGAAAATGAGTCCAAATGTTTACATGTTTCTGTGTAATAAATAAGAGCTGAAGCTTGTGAAGTGTATTTCTGTGTTCCGAAGATATTGGTTTTTTTTAATATAATAAAAGGAGAAATGTGATTTTTCACCTTAAAGGGCAAGTTCACACGGAAATGAACCCATTTTTCTTGTACTTTTTCCACATTAAAAGTGTTAACCTAGAAGTGTCATAGACAAAAATATAAAAATATCACAATTAATCAACATATTTTTCGCATTAAAACGATTTATATTTTTCACATTTACCAAGTGTTCTATTTCCACAACAAAAACACCATGGCTTATGCCCCTTGCAATATGACGTCATTGGTGCCAATTGATAAACATTATGACGTCATCATGCTTTGTTAGAGCCGCTTCACTTGGTGTTGGTACAGGTGTGTGATTCTAGCGTCTCAGATGCCAGCCAGCATAGTGTTATGCTGAGTCACCACTGCGCCGGAGTGTGTCGTAGGCCATGTTGTTTTACCGCAAACTGGTACTTGATATCTTTTGCGTTGAGAATAGACAGGGACCCAGTTGAATTGGCACCAATTACGTCATAATCTAAGATAACTCAGGCCTGTTTAGCTCGAAAACCGAAGGCCTCATAACGGCATATCATTTTCACACTATTGTGAGCTTCCTACTTTCACTGTGAAAAAAATGAGTGTATATTTTCAAACACAGATACTAATTAATTCTAAAATTGCGTTTTGTTTAGAAAAAGAAAGACAGTGATTTTTGCGTGTACACTTCCCCTTTAAGGTCCCTTTTCTCAGGGTTGGTCACATATTTTGTTTGAATTGCCTTAGTTGAGACAATGATGTTTGCTTGATCCGACGAGATGAACAAGTCTTTCTCAGAACGTTGATTCTGTGTTGTTATATTTGATTGTAAAAACATAGCAGCATTGTGTTGGTGAATCTAAACAAACACTTAGTAATGGTAATGTTTACTCAAATATGTGTGTGTTTGTTGAGGTACATTACAGTATGACATTATCAACGCCCCTCTTAACCGCAGTATGACGAGACGTGTTCATGGGTACAATGAATAGATATATTGAACACTTACCGAGTCATTCATGGTAATGCGAGACACTAGTACGTAACATCATGAAATAAACATATACACATACGAACATAGACATGACAGTTCTCCTGCCCGTTTCACCTCGGCGTTGGATCATTCTACTGTTTCTTCTGAACACAAGCATCATGGCACTCCGTCTTGTCTACCCTTTCCAACCAGGCGCATCACTGTCTCTTTGTCTAGTTCCACTCTACCCACTTTCCTGACGAATTTAGAAGTCGGCTCAAAAATTGGTCTGGTGTCCTTTGACGAAAGAATTGATATTGAATGATGTTGAATGTCATTAATGTCATTCTCCGAACAACTAACGTCATTTGCATAACCGTTGTGAGTGCCATCCTCGTGTCCAGGTGCTTCAGCAGCATGGGGTGGTTTGGGCGACTGTGTATCACCGAGGCCTTTCTTCTCTTTATCCCCTGCCTTTACAACGCAGGCACCTTTCTCTCCGTTGATGCTCTGACCCGGACTTTGAGAGTCCCCCCGGACGTTAGGAGTCAGATATCCATCTAACTGTTTGACGCCATGAGGATGTTTCTTCCCCGGATTTGGAAATTCAGCCTCCTGAATCCTTCCACGATTCTTTGAAGAACCATGAGTTTTACCCTGTTGCCTAGGAACGCTAGGCGAGGCTGGCTCTTGTGTAGGAGATGTTGGTACCAACGATGGCGTTCGTCTACTCTTCCTCAAGGCTGCGAGTTCATCCCGCACTTCCAGCTTCATCAAGTTCATCTTCACCATCCTGCTGTGTTCCTGCTTGTCAAGGCTTCCTAACCTCTGCTCCTTCTGTCCTTCAGACCACTTTGTGAGACGTTCAATACGTCCCCCCTCACATTTGCTCATCCACACTCCCTGGAGGAACCTCCCTCCCGAACCCGATGGTCCAGAGGATGCATTTGAACGTTTAGATTCCATTGCAGCTTTCAGATTATTTATTTGTGCACAGTACAACGAACAGACTCGTTTTGAATTAGAGGGAAAATCCTCATATAATAGAACCGATCTTTTTTCGTTCAAACGAAGACATCAGAATGCAAGCAACAGCATATGTATCCGAATATCCGTTCAAACATACTTCCAGCTGAGTGTGAAAAACAAACGAATATATTTGGCGTCAATGATAAATCCACACCAGAATGCCAAACCGCTAAGACAAGTGCGAAGCACCTAAAGCTATACGATGTTTCCCCCGCGACGTTCAATGAAGAATGTGTGACCCCAACGTGAATGAAGTCTCAGCTAGAGCGACGGTAGGAAAAACAATTTCAAAACAAAGGTCATATATAACATCAGCAGTAAGACACTCTCTTGGGGTGGCAGGATAATCCGACAAGAGGCTCCTAAATTTGAAAGCTTTAAAAATCAAACAGCAGTGTGGGTCAGATGTCCCCCACAACCTTGGAGTGGAATGTCAACAGGAGACACGCCGGGAGGGTAAGTGGATACCCTGATGACTGAGACGGACCGGGTCCTGGTGGAAACCAGCTAAGAGGGATTAAATAAACTATCACATCTGATAGGTGCAGAATAAATGAACCCCATGATCTTAGGATAGAAGTAAAAGCGAACTGTTTGGGGATTGAGCCAGGATAAGACTTGGTAAACACGGTTGATCGATAATGCGGTGTTGGAGAAAATACAATGCGCGAGGTGAAAATAGGAAAATATTTGTGTCGGGGTATTGGAAGTGACTTGTTGACGCTCGTTGATTAAATAATATTGCCGTGAAGTGCCTGCATTGTTATCGCGGGTAGCGACAGAGCGTTTTATTGGTTTCCGATAATAAATATGACTGATAAAGTGTGATCTAAACATGTACTTGGACGCCCTGATGATCAGAATAAAGTTGTAATCTGTATTTGTTACTGCATGTAAATAAGTACTTGAGTGTAAGGACAGGTCAGTAAAGGCAGTATCGCGCTTTACAGTCGGTGAAATGATATGTGAAGTGATAGAGTTGCATCCTGAAGATATTTCATATGTCGGGTGAACTATCATGTTTTTCTCATCAAGTGACGGGAGAAGAGGATTTATATTGGCGTTGCCACGAGTCGAGTGAACATATCTCCTTTCCCCCCATCACGAGATGAGAAAAACATGATATTTCACGAGACACATGGAATATCGTATTTATTATATACTTTTTGTGTAGTTGTCTATCCGAGGTGTAAATTTTTTCATTAGAGATGATGTAAAACCTAGAAACGTAAATTCTCCCTACCTAACACACTGGGACGGTTCACCACCCATTGTATTTGCGACTAACAAAGTAGTTTCATGTTTGCAAAATCGTAAAAAATATAAACAGAAGTGATGGTCACGAAAATTCAGTAGATAGATATGATTATATACAAAATCAATTATAACAAAACATATTCTTTGTTATTCTACGAGACAGCTGTTGAAAGCGAAAGAATAGACGCTGGTCAGGTAACAAAAATAGCGCTTTGCGAAACCAACAGTCTCGAGTTAAATGAGACATTTACAGTTAATAACGAAACATTTTCAAGAGAAAAACAAGCGATATGAAGCGATATTAACTCCATTAATACCCATCTGTTATTATTTTGCCTTGTCAATGTCAAAAGTCAACAGGTTGTGTACGGGCCAGTCACTTATGGTAAAGGGAGGCAATTTGAGGGAAGGTAACTCTTGTATGACAATAGTTCCATCACTGTCTTATGTTCATAGCAGTTAAATATCAAGTGTTATGTTCACTGCTTTAAGTATGAAATAAACTTGAATATCTGGTTGTATTCCTGTACCCTACACCCTGCATTCTTCATCCGACACCCCGCATCCTGCACCCCGTACCCCGCATCCTGCACCCACACCCTGCACCCCGCATCCTGCACCCCATATCCCGCATTCCGCACCCCACATCCTGCACCCCGCACCCTGCACTCCCACAACCCGCATTCTGCACCCCACACCCTACACCCCGGATCCTGCACCCCGTACCCCGAATCCTGCACACACATCCTGCACCCCGCATCCTGCACCCCATATCCCGCATCCTGCACCCCACATCCTGCACCCCACACCCCGCATTCCGCAACCTGCACCCCACATCCTGCATCACACAACGCAACAACACGCATCCTTCACCCCGCACTCCACACCCCGCATCCTGCAACCCACACCCCGCATCCTGCACCCCAAAAGCCGCATCCTGCAACCAACACCCCGCATCCTTCACCCCAAAAGGCGCATCCTGCAACCCACACCCCGCATCCTGCACCCCAAAAGCCGCATCCTGCAACCAACACCCCGCATCCTTCACCCCAAAAGGCGCATCCTGCAACCCACACCCCGCATCCTGCACTCCCACAATCCGTATCCTGCACCCCACACCCTACACCCCGCATCCGCACCCCGCATCCTTCACCCAAACAACCCGCATCCTTCACCCTACACTCCGCATCCTGCAACGCACACCCCGCATCCTTCACTCCACAACCCGCGTCCAGCAACCCACACCCCGCATCCTTCACTCCACAACCCGCGTCCAGCAACCCACACCCCGCATCGTTCACTCCACAACCCGCGTCCTGCAACTCACACCCCGCATCCTGCAGGCTGAGACTAGAAATACAATGTCACGTTATCCTCTTTGATATCAGTTCTGCTTGCGACGACATTACAAAATAAGGGAAATTACACTAAAATACGTTACACTAAAATTTAATCCAAACGTCCACCGAGAGTTGTGCTCAACTAAGGAAGACAACTCGCGTGCGGACAACACCGTCTGACTAATAATGTTTCCAATGATGGAGCTGGATAATTACATTTCTGAATCACTGGCTACAATCAATGGACATTGAACCCAGTTCTTAATTAAAGGATTTATTTAATACCAAGACTTGAGTCCAAGACAAGGTGTCATTGTACACTCAACTATTAGGCTCCATTCACTGCAGTAGATCGCACGATGGGCCTTCATTGAAGCATAACCACAAATCTAAATTCGACCGAGGTCAATGCCTCTGCTTGCAAATAGAGTTGTGACAAACGCTATATTGAGGCATGACAGTCGCAGTGAATGTCCACATTGCGTTAGTCTATACGTTGGTACATAAGTAGAGATTTGTCTAGGGAAGTAATATATAACCTTTACTTTACTCTCAGTATGAACTCAGTTGACATGTCTAGGGTATCTCAAGTAGCAATAACAGCCTTAATGTAGGACCATAGTGGCTTTCCTGTTGGTAAACAGCAATCGATACGGCTTATGTCTTGTTTTGCTTATGTTTCCTTACTTAAATATGCTTCACAGAATATAAATGAAACCAGGGGATCTAATAACTTATGGACTCCATCATGCGTCAACGCTATATGCGCGACTGTGATCATGTGCTGCATGTCACTAGCAGGTGCTCGTATAGTACAACTAGAGACTGCTTCATGCTTTTGTCAAATACGATGTATATCTCATCGAGGGAAGTCTAAATGTCACAGGACCGCCTCCGGGGTCTAGTGGTAGAGCGTCCGCCCGGAGAGTGGAAGGTCCGGGGTTCGATCCCAGGCTGCGTCATACAAAAAAGACGTTAAAAGACGGTACTTGTTGTTACCCTGTCTGTCGCTCGGCATTAAGGAGCTGAAACAAGGACTGGTCGTCTCGGAGTCAGTATACTGTGTCTGAGTGGGGTATTCATGTTAAACTGCGGCATGGTATTTCATTTGGCTAGCACTATAAATCGGCATCAGTCCGGACAAGTACAAGCAGCCACACATACACGCGTGCATGCACGTCGCTATATAAGTGCAATAATCTTGGACGCGACTTTTCACCTCACCTGACCTGAAAACAAACATAACACTCAGAACGCGGTTTTCATAACTTTCAAAATTATATTTTGATTCTTCAAATTTGGGAGAACAAGAAACCTTAAAAAAATATTAAAGCTGTTTTGTGGTGCACCGGTGAGAACGCGCATTAATACATGTAAACAAAGATCCGGGATAGAATAGGTCTACAGCAACCAATGCTTGCCAGAAAAGGCAACTATGCTTGTCGTATGAGGCGACTAACAGGATTGGGTGGTCAGGCTCGCTGACTTGGTAGATGCATCTCATCGTACCTCAATTGCGTGGATCGATGCTCATGATGTCAATCACTTGATTGTCTGGTCTAGACTCGATTATTTACAGACGGTCGTCAAAAAGCCGGAATATGGCTGAGTGCGGCGTTAATGAACAAATAATCAATCATTTCTAGTGTGACGTCATTTCGATCTTACTTGTGAAATAAACGACGAGTGGGAGTTGTTTGTCGTACAATAAAACAATGAAGGGAGAATACACTATGAAGAGCGCAGCACCGAGGGGTTAATTCTCCCTGCAGTGTTTTATTGTACGATAAACAACGACCAGGAGATATCAACATCAACAGGGGGGCGGTCGGGTAGCCTAGTGGTTAAAGCGTTCGCTCGTCACGCCGAAGACCAGGGTTCGATTCCCGACATGGGCACAATGTGTGAAGCCCATTTCTGGTGTCCCCCGCCGTGATATTGCTGGAATAGTGCTAAAAGCGGCGTAAAACCATACTCACTCACTCACTCACTCAACATCAACAGGAGATATCAACATCTTTAAGGACGATGATAAAGTGTACAAGCTTTAATATATTTACCCGTAATGATGACCCGTGAAGATTCCGGGGTAGAATTGGTCTTCAGCAACCCATGCTTGGCGTAAAAGGTGACTATGCTAGTCGTAAAAGGCGACTAACGGGATCGGGTGGTCAGGCTCGCTGACTTGGTTGATGCATGTCATCGATCCCAATTGCGTGGATCGATGTTCATGATATCAATCACTGGATTGTCTGGTACAGACTCGATTATTTACAGACCGCCGTCATATAGCTTGAATATTGCTGAGTGCGGCGTTAAACAACAAACCAACCAACCAACCAACCCGTAATGATGGCTCCTCAATAGAATCCGACCTCGGCAATGTCGGACAGTCCATTTTAGGCACAGTTGGGTATTCCCCGCATATTCTTATAATCCCCACTTTGATTACCTGTACCTTTTCTCCCAATGACGATTGTCATATCTCTCCCGCTTTTGGGTGCGATCGTTCAGCCATCGCGTGTATCTGCGTTGCCAGCTACATCTATTGGGTACAACTCTCCACTGAAAAATAACGTCGTCCAATATACGACGTCATCAAGTTGTGAGCGCATATTCGAGTCTCCAGCAATGACGTCATGATAGAACAATGTTTTATCGTGAAATAAGCCACACTATGTTCTTTATCGTTCTTTGCGATTTTAGGGCAGCTGTCTTGTATATCACAATAAGATTCGCATGATGTCAAATCCGTCAGAATGACGTAAAGAATACATTGACGTTAAACAACAAACAAACAAATATTATCATCATTAATATTAGCGTTTTCTATACATGCTTTCCGGACAAATACTGGGCCTATTCAGTCATTATAAAGAGACAGTCACATATAATATGACTTGTCATATGTGATATATAGCATGCTATATGGGACAATCCTGGGATGGCCTGGGATTGTTTTGTCATAAACATTCTTTTCCGAAAATGCTGGAAAATCGCTTTCCTCAGGTGTAACAAGAAATAGGATCGATCACTGGACATGCTTGATGTTCTGTAAAATAACCAGTTTCTTGTTTAAAAAAAAGGAAAAACAAAAAAAATTGTTTAACTCCTTCTTTTAAAGATTAAATTTTACTCTCTCCGCCCACCACAACCACACCACACCCCAGCTCCGGAAAAATAAAATCTTCCCCAATATGTAGGCAGTAGAACCTAACGAATTTTGAACAAGGCCCGTGAACCACAAGAAAAAGTATTCATACACACATATTCCTGAATACGAAAACTATGCAGACGCTCTCTGCTTTCATTAAAGCTTAATCTCCTTTTCACTTACGTTATTAGATATCCTCATAAAGACAAGTTCTCAGCACATACAGCCAGCTAACATATATGTAAACATACAGTCTATTTCACCTCCTTACGTCCGTTAGAATCGCGATATCAAATAACATTGTTCCTATTATCTCATATTGTCGGGTCTATATTTTTTAATGTTTCTCATCTCCTTGTTATGGAGACAAAAATTATTCTAAAATGTTCAAACCCAGAAATCAAGACACCCACTGAAAGCATTTTGTCAAGGATGACATCGCGTTCATCAGAAAGCGCGTTTTGTCAAGGATGGCATCGCGTTCATCAGAAAGCGCGTTTTGTCAAGGATGACATCGCGTTCATCAGAAAGCGCGTTTTGTCAAGGATGACATCGCCTTCATCAGAAAGCGCGTTTTGTCAAGGATGACATCGCGTTCATCAGAAAGCGCGTTTTGTCAAGGATGACATCGCGTTCATCAGAAAGCGCGTTTTGTCAAGGATGACATCGCGTTCATCAGAAGCGCGTTTTGTCAAGGATGACATCGCGTTCATCAGAAAGCGCGTTTTGTCAAGGATGGCATCGCTTTCATCAGAAAGTGCGTTTTGCCAAGGATGACATCGCCTTCATCAGAAGCGCGTTTTGTCAAGGATGACATCGCGTTCATCAGAAAGCGCGTTTTGTCAAGGATGACATCGCGTTCATCAGAAGCGCGTTTTGTCAAGGATGACATCGCGTTCATCAGAAAGCGCGTTTTGTCAAGGATGGCATCGCTTTCATCAGAAAGTGCGTTTTGCCAAGGATGACATCGCGTTCATCAGAAAACCAGACAGACTTCTTCATAGAACTCTCTATTCTTATACAAATTGATCCTATAAAACATAGCCTACCTCATATTACCAGCCCGCCATGCACAATACAGATTACACGGTTGTTGGATGTGTGTGTCCGTCCAAAAGTAGTAATATATTCAATCCATATTAGTATTGCTTACTCTTACTCATAACTCTGTTTCACACAGTGATAAAGCATTTGGGAAGGCTTCTTACCACACGTAGGTGATGCGACAGTAATCCAGAATTTGAGTTATACGTTTTGACATAGTTATGTGCGGAAGATCTCTGCCTAATTGCCCATAATCCATATTATTCGTCGGTGGTGTGACCGCCTCTGTGGTCTAATGGTAGAGCGTCCGCTCGGAGAGTGGAAGGTCCGGGGTTCGATCCCCGGCCGCGTCATACCAAAAGACGTTAAAAGATGGTACTTGTTGTTACCCTGTCTAGCGCTCGGCATTAAGGGGATAAAACTGGTCGGCTTGGAGTCAGTATACTGTGTCTGAGTGGGGTATTCATGTTAAACTGCGGCATGGTATCTCAGTGGGCTAGCACTATAAATCGGACAAGTACAAGCAGCCACACACACACACACACACATGCATGCACGTCGCTATAGAAGTGCAATAATCTTGGACGCGACTTAAACCCCATTTCACCTCACCTCGTTGGTGTTATTACTTTAGTCACAGATGTAAGAAAGTTTAAACGAACACGCGCAATAATTTGCAGATTTTCGTCTCCCCGTATCTTTTGAATTGTATGACTAGATAGGTAACACCATAGAATCAAAAGCCGAGATAAGGCAATTAAGAGGTAAATTATTGTTTCTTACAAAGTAGATTCAATTTATGGATAACAACTTCTTTATATGCTGTAAAGGCGACGGCTCGGAAAAGATCCTTATACCGTTGTCAAGTAAGGCTGAATAATGAACATGGTACAGAATATATACAGTAGGTGGAGGATCAACACTTGCATACAAGTGAGATATTAAGTAGGTTAAAGGGCAAGTTCACACGGAAATTAACCTATTTTTCTTGTACTTTTTCCACATTAAAAGTGTTAACCTAGAAGTGTCATAGACAAAAATATAAAAATATCACAATTAATTAACATATTTTTCGCATTAAAACGATTTATATTTTTCACATTTACCAAGTGTTCTATTTCCACAACAAAAACCTCATGGCTTATGCCCCTTGCAATATGACGTCATTGGTGCCTATTGATAAAAATTATGACGTCATCATGCTTTGTTAGAGCCGCTTCACGTGGTGTAGGTCTAGGTGTGTGATTCTAGCGTCTCACATGCCAGCCAGCATAGTGTTATGCTGAGTCACCACTGCGCCGGAGTGTGTCGTAGGCCATGTTGTTTTACCGCAAACTGGTACTTGATATCTTTTGCGTTGAGAATAGACAGGGACCCAGTTGAATTGGCACCAATTACGTCATAATCTAAGGGGGATAACTCAGGCCTGTTTAGCTCGAAAAACGAAGGCCTCATAACGGCATATCATTTTCACACTATTGTAAGCTTTCTACTTTCACTGTGAAAAAAATGAGTGTATATTTTCAAACACAGATACTAATTAATTCTAAAATTGCGTTTTGTTTAGAAAAAGAAAGAAAGTGATTTTTGCGTGTACACTTCCCCTTTAAGGAATGACAAGAGAAGGATAATACTGTAACAACATGAGGGGCAGAGAACACATGGTGAGGAAGCCAACAACACAGGAGGCCAGTTAAACAGGGTTCACTGTACATAGGTGTGGTAAGTATTGCTTAACGAGTTCACAGTAGGCGGATGGGATGAAATAGCCCTGACCTCTGTTGATTGATGGCTTGTGGCGGCGAATGTGGACTACGTCTGTTAGTTTTCTTTCAGTGAAGTCATGGAGGCTGTTGGAGAGGATTTGGACGTTTTCCCAGGTGTGATTGGGACTTTGCTGGTGTGTGGACAATCCTACGTAGGTGAATCATCCCGTCCCATCAACACCAGAATCAAAGAGCACAAAGCTTCAACCTTCAAATCAGAGAGTTAATCAGCCTCTCAACCTCGGACCATATCAGTAACTGCCCAAATCACAATATCAACTGGAAAAACGTCCAAATCCTATCTAGCAACCCCCATGACTGTATGGCAAGACAGTTTGTCAAACATGAAAGCAAATGTCATATGAAGTTTACTGAGAAAACAATATGTGAAATGCTGGAGTTCCTAATCTAGGTGGCCCTGTCACAGGTGGCGCTGCAATTCGTTGTGCGCAGTTCGAGATGCGTCATTTGGGCACACCAGGCACCTATAGTCGTGGTTTCGAATCCTCGTTCACACTGATTATGTTTCAAGGTTTGTCAGCACCATACCCGTGCTCGTTGGTTTCACCAAAATGGTAAACGTCTGCATCACTTCGGGCTTTCCTCCCACACCAAGCTTACACGCCTTGATATAAGGTGAGTTATCTTCAAAACTCACTCATCCGCGCATATTTACACATGTGCATGAAGATTCAGCAGTGACAGAAAAATACTATCCACAAGATTGTATGAGAAGAGGGGTGACTTCAACTTTCCATTAGTCTATTTTCCCTTCATGTCGAGCAGTATTCCAGCAGCATTGGTGTCTACATTTCACATCTTTTCAGGTACACTCAAGAATGCTGCTTCTTCGAAGTTTTCAAAGGGCGTCATACGATTCTTGTAAAGCTTTCATGATTATTTATGGTAGACATGTGAAACTCATTTCCAATTTGACGCATCAGTGACAACCATGATGTCTGGTGTTGTTCCTGAGAGGGACACTGTATGTGATGGTGACTTCACAAGTACAGAGCTCCAGCTATGACACTGTATGTGATAGTGACTTCACAAGTACAAAGGCCCAGCTCTGTCACTGTATGTGATAATGACTTCACAAGTACAGAGCTCCAACTATGACACTGTATGTGATGGTGACTTCACAAGTACAGAGCTCCAACTATGACACTGTATGTGATAGTGACTTCACAAGTACCGAGGCCCAGCTTTGACACTGTATGTGATGGTGACTTCACAAGTACAGAGCTCCAACTATGACACTGTATGTGATGGTGACTTCACAAGTACAGAGCTCCAACTATGACACTGTATGTGATAGTGACCTCACAAGTACAGAGCTCCAGCTATGACACTGTATGTGATAGTGACTTCACAAGTTCAAAGGCCCAGCTATGACACTGTATGTGATAGTGGCTTCACAAGTACAGAGCTCCAACTATGACACTGTATGTGATAGTGACTTCACAATTACAGAGCTCTAGCTATGACACTGTATGTGATAATGACTTCAGAAGTACGGAGCTCCAACTATGGCACTGTATGTGATGGTGACTTCACAAGTACAGAGCTCCAACTATGACACTGTATGTGATAGTGACTTCACAAGTACAGAGCTCCAACTATGACATTGTATGTGATAATGACTTCACAAGTACAGAGCTCCAACTATGACATTGTATGTGATAATGACTTCACAAGTACAGAGCTCCAACTATGACACTGTATGTGATGGTGACTTCACAAGTACAGAGGCCCAGCTATGACACTGTATGTGATGGTGACTTCACAAGTACAGAGCTCCAGCTATGACACTGTATGTGATAGTGACTTCGCAAACAGAAACTTCAGGAATGACACCGTTTGTGATTGTGATATTTGGGATTTCCTCAAAGAAACCACATTGTCCGAGATCAGGCTTGAAATACATATTTTTGCTTCAGACTGTTCAAAACAAAGAAGTGTGCCACACAAAAATACATTATTGAAAGATTATTTTAACAAAACATATTTAGACTTTAAAAAATAGATAGTTTTGCAACTATATTGGAATTAAATCACATAAAAAATTCCATGTTTCAGGCATACAGTTCTTTGGGACAAGTTATTATTTCCCGTCATCCAATGATCCGTCTTACAGTGATTCATGTTCGCAGCTCTCCCTGCATGTATAAGCACAGTCGTGTTCGACCATGACAAATACCCATGAAAGCGGATCATTAGCTAAACATCTACGCCTGTGGTAGCGGCAAGGGGTCTCTAGCTGACAGAGTCGGTTCATTAAACCATAATACCTTTATCCATTATGAAGGGATAGCTTTGGAAATGTACCTCCTTGACACAGTAACCCTGCAGAACCAGTGGCCAAAGGAATACCGGTCTCTGATGTACCTCTGAGATACCTACCGGCATTGTGTATGGGCCAATGAATGGAGTTTTTAACCGTCCGGGGTTGACGACGATCGTGTATGATTGGTATGTTTTGTTTACAATGTGATTGTATATAGTGTATCAGAGTATGTATAGTTACACACTTTATTGTATATTGCTTTTATTTCAGGACATTGAGGCCACAGGCCCTTTGTACATAATAGCAGGGTCACGGTCGTCGTGACCATGTGCAGGCTGGTATATTTTTCTTTGTATTATTACAGTGTATGACTATGGAATATAGATGGATAAAGTCCTCGTGTTCCCAGTCGAGATTTCGAGTGTTTAGTTTTCCCATGTTTAACTACGTACTATTTTTGTCTCGGGGTGGACTCGTACGTGGGCTTTTAGCAGAGACTTTCGCGAACACCTGGTGTCATTGCTATTTGATAGTGATTTATAAACACATGTTTGTGATATAGTCGGAATCGTACAATCGTGCATAAGATATATCTTATGAAGATGGAAAGGGTTTTGTCGCATTATTATTATAATAAAATTATTATATTAAAATACAAAAATTGCAGCAAAGAGTTTTTGGTTGATCCTGGCAGTGTGAGGTTGGTTAGGCTCATCATCAGCTCAAGGTCCCCTCTTCACGCAGTCCAGACAGCGAATGGGACTTCTCCTAGGAAGCGCTGCCTAGTTAAACCCACCCAGAACTTTTCGGAGAACGTGAAGACTCCCCAACACTGCAGCCTTCTGCATTACCCAGATTGTCAGAAGGGCTGTATTCTTGGTAGCAAACCCAGGTACTCTCACAAAGTCAGTCAACAGCTTGGGAGGTACCAAACCTAAGGCACCGAGAACAATGGGGAGTCGGACAACTTGGTACTTTGGATGCAAAAGTAACATTTCAAAAGCAAGGTCCGTATATTTGCCATGTTTTTCCTTAATCTTGTCAAGCACATTAGTGTCAATAGGGACAGAAAATGCAATAATATAAATGATTTCATTGGATTTATCAAACAGGACAGGATCAGGTTTGTTGGCTTGGATACGTCTGAGACTGTAAACGGGCCTATTCCAAAGAATTTTGTATTTATCATTTTCCATGACGCCCTCTTCATATTCTGGTTCGTACCATGGATGGACCCCTGTGGCAAAACCACAAGCATGGCGAAGCTTTTAACAACATTCCCTCAATATCACGGCGGGGGACATCAGAGATGGGCCTCACACATTGTACCCACGTCGGGAATCGAACCCGGGTCTTCGGCGTAACGAGCGAACGTGTTAACTACTAGGCTACCCGACAGCCCCATGAGCAGTGTTTCTGGGATAAAACCGCATCGGAAAATCAGCCATCAAATGACAATCATTCCTGGTGATTTCTGACCATTTTTTTCAAATTTACTGACTAACGGATGGCCTAGTGGTGTAGTGCGCTGCTGGTCGCTGTTGGAAATTGCGATACAGGGGCATGATATAATATCCTCTGATGGTTCGAGTTCGAGTCCCAATTCGACCTCACTATGATCCTCTGTTTCTCAGCACCATATGAAAGTGGTAAGCCGTGATAAGCCGGGGTAAAGAAAGTATCAGCCATGTTTGATGGTGGAAAAAATGAATCAAACAAGAAATGGTTATTCGATGCTGATGTTTTGTTTGTTTGTTTGTTTGTCAGCAATGTTCCAGCTATATGACGGCGGTCTGTAAAATAATCGAGTCTGCCAGACAATCAAGAGATTAATATCATGAGCATCGATCCACGCAATTGGGATCGATGACATGCATCAACCAAGTCAGCGAGCCTGACCACCCGATCCCGTTAGTCGCCTTTTACGACAAGCATAGTCGCCTTTTACGACAAGCATAGTCGCCTTTTACGACATGCATGGGTTGCTGAAGTCTTATTCTATCCCGGAATCTTCACGGGTCTCGATGCTGATGTAGTTAGGCTGGTATCAATATACTGCATCCCAGTTGTGTTTTGGACCTTAAGTGTGCAGTGTTTAGGCGTTTTCAGCCTAGTCATTTTGTATTTTGTTTGGTCAGATCCAAGTTTCATGTGTATACTTTCTTTTTTAAACCAGTTTAGGGGGGCACGGGTGGCCCAGTCGTCTAAGGCGCCGCGATTCGCTGTGCAGAGTTGCGTCCCTTGGCCACGCCAGGAACCTATGATTGTGGGTTCGAATCCCGGTTCGCCCCGATTATGTTTCTAGGTTTGTCAGCACCATACCCGTGCTCGTGGGTTTCACAGAAGTGGTAAACGTCTAAGACCTGCATCACTTCGGGCTTTCCTCCCACATTAAGCTTACACGCCGCGATATGACTGGAATACTGTTAAAAGCAGCGTTAAACCCAACTCACTTACTCACTCACTCAACCAGTTTAGATATACTGTTCAAAGCGACGTTAAACCGAAATCACTATCACTAGGGGATATGCATTCTTGCATGCAGTTTACAATGTTTTTAAATGGTGTCCTCCTGTTCTAACAGCTTTTTTTAAATATTAAACTTTTTCTTCAGACCCGTGACGAGTTAGAATTGGTCTTTAACAGCCCAAGCTTGTCGTAAGAGGCGACTAACGGGATCAGGTGGTCAGGTTCGCTGACTTGGTTGATGCACGTCATCGTATCCCAATTGCGTAGATCGGTGCTCATACTGTCAATCACTTGAATGTCAGGTCCAGACTCGATATTAATGGACTACCGTCACATAGCTGGAATATTGTACGACGTTAAACAACAAACAAGCAAACAAACTAACCTGTTCCCTCAACGAGTGACTACGTCCCTCGTGAACAATCATACAACCATCTATAGGCTTACCAATCGTCGTCTAAGGCGCCGCGATTAGCAGTGCAGAGTTGCGTCTCTTGGGTACGCCAGAAACCTATGGTTGTGGGTTCGAATCCCGGTTGGCCGCGATTATGTTTCTAGGTTTGTCAGCACCATACACGTGCTCGTAGGTTTCACCAAAGTGGTAAACGTCTTAGACCTGCATCACTTCGGTCTTTCCTTCCAGATCAAGCTGACTCGCCGTGATATAACTGGAATACCGTTAAAAGCGACGTTAAACCAAACTAACTCACTCACTCACTGTTATGAAGACACTGCTACTTGTTTGCTTTCTTTGCAATAGAAATGTATTGTAGTTAATGCCATTAAATTAAATGGGGACGGTAGGGTAGCCTAGAGATTAAAGTGTTGGATTGTCACTCCGAAGGCCTGGGTTCAATTCCCCACATGGGTACAACGCTGAAGCCCAGTTCTGGGGTCCCCCTCCGTGATATTTCTGAAAATATTCCTACAAGCGGCGTAAGACGTCATTCACTCACTCACTGAATTAAGTGCCTCATTAGTCCAAGCCTTAGTCTGGTTCTGTTATATTGTACAAGGAACCACAACAACCTGTGCAGAGTTGTGTGCCTTAACCGTGCAAGGATCTACTGCCTGCGTTACTCAGAGCTTTCCTAACACATAAAGCTGACCAAACAGGTATTCAAAGACAGCATTTTTCCACGTATAATCTAAGTATTTAACACAGTGATTCAGTGGATATTAATAAGTATCAGCTTTCCCAGTAAGTAAATGACTCTGGGCCATACAAACCAGTGATTGATAACGTGAAAAACACACCACGTCTTACTGGCACGATGACACAAAAATAGCCAAGTCATAGAGCCCAAGCATTTCAGCCGACCCTTTTATGCCAATAAATAGAACCTTCTTTTATCGATATATACAAATAGTAATACGTTCCATGTCACGTCTCTTTCATATTAGGCGGTCGGGTAGCCTGGTGGTTAAAGCGTTCGCTCATCACGCCGAACACCCGGGTTCCATTCCCGACATGGGTACGATGTGTGAGCCCATTTCTGGTGTCCCCCGCCGTGATATTGCTGGAATATTGCTAAAAGCGGCGTAAAACCATACTCACTCACTCTTTCATATTAATTTTGAAAATATCTGTTTTCCATGATTTGTTAACATTAAAAGGTCCCCATGATTTGTTAACAGTAAAGGAAACGTCGAAACCAAAACTAATTGTAATCACGTTTGTGTATTTTTACTTTGTTTATAAGACCATATAATAGGATCAATCCACTTACTCGGAAAGATAAGTGCACGGTGCAACGATCCATGGCCTGAAGAGTACTAGAGAATGTTGGATACGTAACGTCAAAGTGTGATTAGACTTACTCCTTGTTACTTACGTAAGTGATACTTTAGCCATCCTTTGTCGCCCCGCTGCTGCTAGGTGACAGGGTAATCTCGCCCGTTGCTAATACCTGGACATGTCACGCGTGGGATATTTGTAGGTACTGGACCTTAATCCCAAATTGGGCGGTGGGGTAGCCTTGTGGTTAAAGCGTTGGCTCGTCACGGGTTCGATTCTATGGTGGCCGAGAGGGGACATCGCTTTCTCGCTCTATCGCTTTCTCGCTCTATCGCTTTCTCGCTCTATCGCTTTCTCGCTCTATCGCTCTATCGCTCTATCGCTTTCTCGCTCTATCGCTCTATCGCTCTATCGCTCTATCGCTTTATCGCTTTCTCGCGGTATAGCAATATTCCCTCTTGACCACGATATGGGTCGCACGCGTTATGTGTTTCTTTACGATAAAAAGTATATACGTAAAACAACATTAATGAATTGTTAAACCTGACCTCAGTGGGCGGAGGCTGAGGTGGGTTTTAATCATAGAAGAGAGCTGAAATGTTTCCAGTCACATTTCAAATTATACATATGGAGGGCGGTCGGGTAGCCTAGTGGTTAAAGCGTTCGCTCGTCACGCCGAAGACCCGGGTTCGAATCCCGACATGGGTACAATGTGTGAAGCCCATTTCTGGTGTCCCCCGCCGTGATATTGCTGGAATATTGCTAAAGGCGGCGTAAAAACAAACTCACTCACTATACATATGGATGGAATGTTGAAATTTTGAAATGGAATGGATCAGCGGAAAGCAGTGAAATGTTCACTAGTCACTGATATAGACATGGCACGCCAAATAAATAAAGGCTATAAAAACTATAAGCGACGAAACCCTTTCCATATTCAAAAGAAATCTCAGCCAAAAGCAGTGTCGACTGTAAGATCCCACTATATCATGTGCAACTGTTTATTGATCAAATAGGCATGCGCCTTTTTTAGGCCTTTTGTTCACATTTCACGTGTAGATAGACGTGCAATGGTCATGTGGTTTGGACGTGGATATGTTGTAGTGAATTTCACATTTGTGATCTGCATTTTGCCATGACTGCATTTTGCCAACTGCAACAAGTTGTGGACCACTAAATCACATTACATTCATGATTTGAGTATCGCTATGTGTAACGTTTTAACATTTACCAGACTATATTTTCTTGAAATGGCTGATACAGTGGCTTTCGTTTTCAAGAATCTGATTGTTGTATCCTTGTAAAATGCATTGATCCTACAAAGCAGCTTGCGGTAGACCACTTTTGAGATCCCTGTAAGTATTTATTGAATTCAGTGATCATGGCGGCTGCAAAGCTTTCTGTAATTGGTATGAAATATGCCAGCGGAATATGCTTTCTTTAAGTATACATATAATACGGAGCAGCTTCAGGTGAAACCATCACAGCAAAAAAAGTGAAGGTTTCCGTCTTCCGGAAACCTCCCGGATACCTTCCCACTTTGGATCCGGCCCGGATACCTTCCGGAAACCTTCCAAAAAAAATGTCAAAATTTGGGGGGTGCATTTTGTTCAATTGTGTGTGAAACACATAAAAAAATTATCTGGAAATTACCAAGAAAATTGAAGGTTGCCGAAGGTATCCGGAAAGTTTCCGGAAGACGGAAACCTACACTTTTTTTGCTGTGCATGCGTCGGCATAAAATATATAATACTTCCTGATTGATTACAACTTTGAAAATATTTTTGACATATTCAAAGTCCAATCGGTGTTTTATTAAACAAATTATTGCATATTAATTTCAGACTCATGACCATCTATGAAATGACAGGAAAGGCCACCGAGTCAGAAGACGCTAATAATGAACAGCAGCGTGTGTGATGATTTTAACGAAGCCGGATCTACTCCCCTTATTAACCTCGTGCTAACAGTCGCCATTGTATTTATCCCGGGCCTTCTAGTTCACTGTGTTGCAAGAGCTCTTCTTGCAAAGGACATCAAGAAAAACCCGAACCTTGTGAAAAAGCTTCTTGGAGCCCTCTGCGTAGTTGATGTCCTGGGTATCTTGTCAGCCACTGCTTATCAAGTTGTGAATGTTTTCATCCCCGAACCAAGTTACTCTGCTTGTGTAGCTATCGGTTTCTTTAACGGGTTTCTGTCTCAAGCATCTAATGCCTTGGCGACTATCATGGCGGTGGAGAGATGTTTCGCCTTCAGCGTCACCTACTGGTACATTGCTAATATCCACAGCTGGAAGCTAAAGGTTCCTATTCCCTTCATCGTGATTTGTCTTATCGTTGTCAACATGCTTCCAGCTTTTGGCTTTGGACTGGTCATGGATCCTGAAAAACCCAAGCTCTGCAAAATGTTACCTTCTGCTCCCATTTCGCCCTCTTCGCGACTTAGTGTCTATACCATCGTTTATGCTTCAGTTGGTCTCATGTTTGCTGCTGTTAACATCGTGTGTAACACAGTCGTAATTGCTTCCCTGTTCAGAATGGTTCACAAACGCGCGCCCCCCAAGCAGAAATCGATACTAGCAGAGTACGAGATGACCATAATGCTGCTCTTCCTTTCGGTGAACTTCCTCATTTCCTGGATACCTTTCTATGTAAGTATACACACACGGAAGTATATGTCTTACGATTAAGTGAGTCTGTTCCTAGATCCAAGGTGTAACAAGGAATATAATCCAAATACATTCACATTCTAAATTTGAACTTTCTTGACATGAATTTTACGCTTATGATTCATTTCTATTTTGGCATATTTGAGAATCATTTTTTATATACTTCATCACATCGAGTGAGTGAGTGAGTGAGTGAGTGAGTGTGTGAGTGTAGCTTACGCCGCTTTGAGCAATATTCTAGCAATATCACGGCGGGTGATCAGAAATCAGAAATGGGCGTCACACATTGTGCCTATGTGGGGAATCGAACCCGGGTCTTCAACGCTTTAACCACTAGGCTACCCCACCACCCCCTTAAACACATTGAAATCGCATATTTGATTGTAATAATTAGGCAAATGTACACAGAAATCAAATTAAGGTGTTTAGGGTATTAAGGCCTGATGTATTCAAACACAACACTGTTGTCGTGCGGGTATTGGGGCATGAAGTATATCATATGCAACCTTTGAACTAGGATTCCTGAGAACTTAAGAACATGGGTTCGAACCTCGGTTTATGTTTGTTCACTCAGATTGTATACCTGGATTTGTCAGCACCAAACTTTTGCTCACCAAAGTGACCTGCATCGCTTCGAGCATTCCTCCCACATGATGTTGACACGCCATGATATTTAACCGAAAGACTGTTCAATGCGACGTTAACCCCAACTTATTTGTTTTTGTTTTTTTCTCCAAGATTTCCGTGTTTCTGAACTACTTTGGGAAACGCATACCTAAGAGTGTGAGCTTTTGTGTACGTGTTCTGGCTGGGGTGAGCTATTCCACCGACCCACTGATCTATATTGCTGCTAGGAAGAGCTACAGGGATCGGATCAGGACCAGAATTTTGACAATCTGTGGAAATGACAAATCTTCAAAGAGAACTGTTTCTGTGATAACTTAACGAGACAATGTCTTTACAGAATTACATCAAACAGGAAGCCGACTGTGTTGCATGTAGATTATTGTATGTATTCACGAAGGTAGGAGGATGTATCTGTATTCAAGCCCGTAAATGTCTGATGATGTTACAAAATTCGATAGATAGAAAGACAGACAAACAGACAGACAGACAGACAGACAGACAATATATTATATCTATATATTTGAATATATATTATATCTTATCTGTTATACATTTGTGTCGAATTTTGTAATATCGTGCCTAAATGTTTTTACAGTATTTTCGGTTGTTGATTTGTGGTTATTTGTTTGAATGTTTGACCATTCAGTGTATCACTCATTTACATTCACGTTTTTAATTCTATATCAAGACGTTTGCTTGGAATAATTAAGTCATAATTGTTGATGTAGGAAGTAGACAATATATTACGCAGTTTCCCGAATGGGGTTTTCTCCATTTTGGGTTTTTCGAAGCGTGGAATGGACATTGAATTGTTATATGATGTCACACATGTCACACATGTAGATGCATGAAATGGTTAATAAAATACCGATCTACAACGTCAAGTTTAATTGACTTTTTATACACTTCATGCATCCTTGCATGCAAAATATTTGGTAACAAATATTTTTTTACATAAACACATATACAGTGAACAAAAGTTGAAATACTGACCATACCAAGAGTGCATTAGGTGTCATATAGTTGTGGTACCGAAAGTAGAATACCCACCATACCAACAGTGTAAAAGATATCAAAGGTTTGAGACAATACTAGAATCCTGACAACAACAACAGTGTATAAGGGAATGATGAACCCAGAATGATGAACCCAGAATGTTAAACCCAGAATGATGATCACAGAGTGATGAACCCACAATGGTGAACCCAGAATGATGAGCCCAGAATGATGAACCCAGAATGATGATCACAGAGTGATGAACCCAGAATGATGAACCCAGAATGATGAACCCAGAATGATGAACCCAGAATGACGAACCCAGAATGATGAACCCAGAATGATGAACCCAGAATGATGAACCCAGAGTGATAAACCCAGAATGATGAACCCAGAATGATGAACCCTGAATGATGAACCCAGAATGATGAACCCAGAATGATGAACCCAGAATGATGAACCCAGAATGATGAACCCAGAGTGATGAACCTGAATGATGAACCCAGAATGATGAACCCAGAATGATGAACCCAGAATGATGAACCTGAATGATGAACCCAGAATGATGAACCCAGAGTGATGAACCCAGAATGATGAACCCTGAATGATGAACCCTGAATGATGAACCCAGTGTGATGAACCCAGAGTGATGAACCCTGAATGATGAACCCTGAATGATGAACCCAGTGTGATGAACCCAGTGTGATGAACCCAGAATGATGAACCCTGAATGATGAACCCTGAATGATGAACCCAGTGTGATAAACCCAGAATGATGAACCCTGAATGATGAACCCAGAATGATGAACCCTGAATGATGAACCCAGAATGATGAACCCTGAATGATGAACCTGAATGATGAACCCAGAATGATGAACCCTGAATGATGAACCCAGAATGATGAACCCAGAATGATGAACCCAGAGTGATGAACCTGAATGATGAATCCAGAATGATGAACCCAGAATGATGAACCCAGAATGATGAACCCAGAATGATGAACCCAGAGTGATGAACCTGAATGATGAACCCAGAATGATGAACCCAGAATGATGAACCCAGAATGATGAACCCAGAATGATGAACCCTGAATGATGAACCCAGAGTGATGCACCCAGAATGATGAACCCTGAATGATGAACCCTGAATGATGAACCCAGAATGATGAACCCAGAATGATGAACCCAGAATGATGAACCCAGAGAGATGAACCTGAATGATGAACCCAGAATGATGAACCCAGAATGATGAACCCAGAATGATGAACCCAGAATGATGAACCCTGAATGATGAACCCAGAGTGATGCACCCAGAATGATGAACCCTGAATGATGAACCCAGAGTGATGCACCCAGAATGATGAACCCTGAATGATGAACCCTGAATGATGAACCCAGAATGATGAACCCAGAATGATGAACCCAGAGTGATGAACCTGAATGATGAACCCAGAATGATGAACCCAGAATGATGAACCCAGAATGATGAACCCAGAATGATGAACCTGAATGATGAACCCAGAGTGATGCACCCAGAATGATGAACCCTGAATGATGAACCCAGAATGATGAACCCAGAATGATGAACCCAGAGTGATGAACCTGAATGATGAACCCAGAATGATGAACCCAGAATGATGAACCCAGAATGATGAACCCAGAATGATGAACCCAGAATGATGAACCCAGAGTGATGAACCTGAATGATTAACCCAGAATGATGAACCCTGAATGATGAACCCAGAATGATGAACCTAGAATGATGAACCCAGAGTGATGAACCCAGAATGATGAACCCAGAGTGATGAACCCAGAATGATGAACCTAGAATGATGAACCCAGAATGATGAACCCAGAATGATGAACCCAGAATGATAAACCCAGAATGATGAACCCAGAGTGATGAACCTGAATGATGAACCCAGAATGATGAACCCAGAATGGTGAACCCAGAATGATGAACCCAGAATGTTTGTGGTGATTAGACATTTTCAGCTGCAGCTCCAAAACCAGATTTTTTTAATTCAAAGATATGTTCCTGTTTTTGTTTAAAGAAAATCACATCCTTGCAACCATGAATTTATTTTGGCAGGCAATTTCTTTTTGTCAACAGTCTGAAGCATAATTATTATTTTTCAAGAATTTTCGGGGACAGTATAACCTTTTTTCTGCATGCCGCTCTCCTGGCAGACGCTCTTTCCACTGGATCGCAGGGTTGGTCATTTGTTTATGAAAATAATCCCACCGTGGATGGCCTGTTTGTGCCGTTGGATATATTCTTTTGCATGTTATTAAATTGTTTTATAAACCTGCCTAAACACCATATCTTTGTTATATTAACCAGGAACCTACTCTCCAGACTGTTTCAAATGCATTGGTGAAAATGAATGTTCTATTGATGTGCTACATAGTCAAATGGGAACCCGATATATTGTCTCTGTATTGAATCATTTCCTAAAGCACAACAATGACATCATGCTGCGTACCATTTGGTGCACTGTGTCCATGCTTGGATGAACTTTTCTAGAACGTTTCGCCATGGTCAAATCCCAGAAATCTAAATAAACAATCTTGTCATGCAATGAAGCGAATTCCTCATGCCAAATATCAGAATATATGAGACCCCAGTAGGATAACAAACTTTGTGTCCCTCTTAAATATGCATGTGGGCCACGAACTGCAAGTGTAACATTGGGGGCGCGTGCCAAGAGGTTCTTTGCAGATGGAACAAGTCGTCGAACATGTCGCCGAAACTCATCCGGGTGGACAAGTGTGAAATGAGCGTACAAATATAACACTACGATGTCCTTGGTGGTGTTCGGGAGACGGTCCATCATGATGTGCTGAGCTTGGCTCGTATATCTTGGGTAGTGTCGAGATCCATGGTAGAACGGTAATTCGTGAGCATGCCAGGAAACTGAAAAATTGTATAATTGATCTTTGTCAATAACAGGTACATGAGCATCTGCATGTGAAGGAAAGCGCAAGAAGGAGTGAAGAGCTGTTTTGAATTGGGCACTTGTTGAATCCCCATGAAGCCATAGCGTCCTTCCTTTCAAGCATTGTCTGTAAGTATCTATGGTGCGTGGCAGTGTGTCATGACACATTAGCGAATGCCACTCATTGTTGTGAAAATAACCGTTTGGAGATTTCTGCTGCCAGGTCACTTTTGCTGGTAAATTATTACAGGAGATATCAGGTGGCGTCAGCAATGATGAATTTCCAACTGCAATTAGAAACATTTGAGTTTGGTTTAACGCTCATTTTAACAGTATTTCACATATGTAACGCGGTGCTAGCTCAATGTGGCAGGGAATCCCGAAGTGATGAAGGACTTAGACGGTTCCCGCCCACATGCATCTCGTTCGACATAAACGTGGTCGCACAAATGTCACGTAGCACCTCACAATCTAGACATGGTCTTTGCAAGTACTCTGCAAGAGGAATGTCTCCGGATCCCATGACCACCAAGTATGACCATTCGATGTGGGGCAGCTGTTGAGCTCCACGAGGATCACAATCGCTATTACCATTCACTCCCCGTGTCTTGACATTACACGGCTGGTAAACATACAAGTCATAATTTTCCATATAAGTCATGCGATCCAGTAATGAACAAGTACACCAGTCGATCGAGAATATTATGATAGCTGCAGGCTGTACCCACCGATCAAACAATGTGTCAGATCGTGGCTTGGTATACCCATCGAAGCAATATAATCCCTTTGGGGGTATTTCGGTACCCTAATATCTGAAAAAGTTCAATATATAGTAAAGTTCAGAGATGAGGGAATTGACTTTAAGTGGGAGCTGAATTGTTTAAGTCTATTAAGTCTTAAATTTACCAATACCTTCACTGAGTACGAAAACACTCGAACATTATGTTAAAGTGAACTGTTAAACAGTGAACGTTGTGCTCTGATTGGAGTTTTTGCGGCCAGAATCCCGTGTATTATAACCGTTTCTTACATTTGTGGAGACTGATCAACATGATCCCTACGTGGAGATCTCTACGCCATTATATATAATAGTTATCAGGATAACTGATTCCAGTAAACTGCCCGATCTGAAACTGCTCCCTGTCCCCTAAGAAAACTGCCCCTCCTAAAACACGAGAGGAATTGTTTCAGAAATCCCTGACAAGTACTATTTGCTGTACCATCATACAATTTACAGAATTTACAATATGAAGTTTTTGAAAATATGTGGCATAATATTCTAAATGTACACGTAGATGTTGAAATGTATTTGAATAACAAAAAATCATGATCATCATTATAATACTGTCTTCATTCATGGTTTGAATATAGTACAAAAAATACTAAAATCGCGTGTTGACTAGACGGTTTCCAGAGATGCGTATCATGTCATGTTACTTGGGGACGGTCTTTTGTGGGGTAATGACCTAGGTGTAGCTGACAGTTGTCCTTGGGATTGATTTCAGTTACCTGGACAATCATAGTGTTATTGGCGTACACCCTTCGACATTGCAGCTCTATGTCCCCTCACCTGTCGACACAGGCGGCTACTGGTGATTGATCTGTGCAGGTGTTACTGGTGTCAGAATTCAACAACAATTCTGTCACAGTTCTTCTCAAAATCCAGACTGAGTACGTCTGATACAATCCTCTACATGTATTACATATTGTTTGCATATATTTCTAGCTAATAGTGAGTGAGTATGATCACGGGTCAGGGACTTGCTCATGTTTAAGCTTTCAAAAGAAGTTCTAAAAATCTGCCCTTTTCACTCATTTTAGTAATGAATGTGTATTCCACTATATCATAAGTCCAAAAGATGCATGTGTAGTAAGTGTGTGTGTCTTTACGCCGCTTTTAGCAATATTCCAGCAACATCACGACGGAGGGCACCAGAAATGGGCTTCACACATTGTGCCCATGTACCCGACCGCATCATACCAAAAGACGTTAAAATATGGTACTTGTTGTTACTCTGTCTGGCGCTCGGCATTAAGGGGGTAAAACAAGGACTGGTCGGCTCGGAGTAAGTATACCGTGTCTGATTGGGATATTCATGTTAAACTGCGGCATGGTACCTCAGTGAGCTAGCACTATAAATCGGCATCAGTCCGGACTAGTACGTACAAGCAGCCACACAAACACACACACGTACATGCACGTCGCTATATAAGTGCAATTATCCTGGACGCGACGTTAAACCCCATTTCACATCACCTCCTTCTTTTTGGATTGTTTAAAGGCCGCCGTCGTGTGACAGGAATACATTTGCCAGGCAACAAACAAACACTTACTTTTTACGCACATTATGAGAGGGCATGCTTACCCTCTTTGAAAACACCTGGTGTCATCACTGATTTTCAGAGATTCATTCACATAAGTTTTACAGGTATTTTGCTTTTTACGCCCATTTTGCTTGTGTGTTGACGTTTTATATACACTCTTCAAAAAAAGAAACGCACAGGTAGATTTCTAGTAAATTTATCGTACCTAAAAAGTCTATATATTTGATTTAATATCATAGATACAAATATGAAATTTTGAAGCACGATAGTCACATGTTGTCGTTGCATAAAGGCATTGAAAACTGTTCATTGTCATGTCATCTCGACGGCCATTGCAAGTCGTTGATGTTGGCATTAAATTAAGGTAGTCTACCGTGACACGAGCTGTGTGCGGTGGAGCGTTGTCCTGTTGAAACAGCTCTCCTTCTGGCGGTCATTGATTGGAAGAAGGTGAGGTTGAAGAATTTGATTCATGCAGCGATTTGCTGTCAAATGTCCCTCAACCACAACCAAGTCGGATCTTGTGGTGTAGGATATGCCCCCCACCCCCCACCCAGCCCCCAACACACACCATGACACTACCGCCACCGAAATTGTCGAATTCACGTACACAATGTGGGGCAAAACGCTCATTTCGATAAACACGTTGTCTTCCAGAAATCGTGATTCATCGCTAAACCGCACTCGTCACCAGTTTCTCACATTCCAAGGCTGTAAGGTATAGCACCAACGCAAGCGTCGCTGTCGATGGATCTGTTGCAAAACAGGGACGATAACTGGTTTTCTGGGTCGGATTCTAGCCTCGCGAAGATGGTTCCTGACGGTCTGGTCCGATAACCTCCTGAAACCAGGAATGCGTCCTGCAGTCTCCGTAGCTGTGGCATTGCGATGAGAGTCGAATGTAGCGATCCTGTGCAGGGGTGGTAACTCTTGGTCGGCCGGTTCTCGGACGGTCTGCAGTGGAATTGATCTGTGTGTATCGGTCCAAAAGGCGGCAAATGGTGCTGTGGTGGACGTTGCGTGCAACAGCAGACTGCGATTCCCTTCTTTGGATATGTCCTTTGGCGATGTTCCGATCGGCAGCGCTAAGTCTCGGCATTTTCGAACTTGAAAAATGTTGACAATTGAATGACAAATTACTGGCTTATGCCTCCCTTGTAATAGCCAATACCACGAGTTACGAATGCCAAATATTGCACGTGCATTTTGCTTTACTGTTTTCCTCCATGACATTTTTTGAACAAGTGTGAAAACAATGCCGTTTAAGAGGCCACCAGCATTTTCCAATAACATATATCTAATTAATATAGCGGATTTTTTGTGTAGTCAGGTTCAATGAACTACATACTACCTGTGCGTTTCTTTTTTGAAGAGTGTATATTTCATAGGTCCAGTATTTCAAGACATAGTTTTAACAAGAAACATTTAACATATGATAACTTACATTTTTCTGATATGAATACTCACCTTTCTTTATAGATACATTTAAAGCCATTGGTAGGGTATCGGGTGCAGGGTCTTTACCTGACCTGGGTGGAAAGGAAACAAACTGACAACGATTTGATACAATAGTAACTCAACTTCTCATTAAAATTGGTCATTGAAAATTGTGTCTGTTTGATGATAGTATAACATATAGTGAGTGAGTGATTATTATGAGTGATATATGACATTGCCAGGGATGCCATATGTTGACGGCGACATGTCAACTATTTCAGCGTTATGAAAAAATAGTCTTCAAAGTCAGTAACAGGTTCAATTCAAGACAGGATGCAAAGTGGCAACAGCTTAAAGATGGCACAGATGTGAAGTATTAATAACACAAACAATGAGGTAAGTAAGTACGTACCATGTAAGGATGTCTTTATCAGAAGTATCAAGTGTGAAATTATTTGGGCCAGTGTAGGATTTTGTCCATGTTTCACAAGGTAAATTAGTCTTCTTGCAAAACCAAGGAAAACCATCGTTCTCAGTTGTAAAGTTACACCACTCGTTGGTCTTTGAAATACTCGGTTGGTTTGCTGAGCATCTCGATGTTTCAGACAGCGGTTTCTTGTTGAAATCAGCATATGCTGTCCATATACTGGAGTATTGCTTGAAAATTCTGTAATACAGAGCCAACTCCTCTCTTCGTGTTGCAATAAATACGCGTATCGCAGCCTGTCCGGCCCATGTGGCTTTGAAAACACCAGTGTAACTTCCATCATTGTGGTCGAAAACCTCACCGGAGACGGATGCTGAAGTCTTGGGATCTTCCATCCACACTCTCAGATGGTCGCCCCCAGTTGACTTCCGGTTACCATCCCTATCAAACAGATCTATTTGAACTTTGATCTGTTCTCCCAACGAGTACGATGGTTGATAATGTTTTAGATATATACGAGAGGTGTTTGCATTGGAGCACTTTGGATGGTTATTTATGGTTGAGAGGAGTAAATCATGCTCTGAGAGATAGCGGCGTCCTAATACTGGCTCCTGTTGAAAAGTTATGTTGTGTAGTTGTGTACTGAAATGATAGAAATGCGTGTATGTATAACTAAGCACACTTTTGTAAACCTGACTCATAAGACAACAATCACAATCAAATCAGATCTTGCTCTCGAAAAACAAAGATCTGAGGACATCACATATCAGATCACAAAAGATTTTTCCAATGAAATGACTAACAAGAAGTCGACAAAAGCCCGTCAGTAAGCAGCTTTCTCGAACTTTATGGCACTAGATCCAAATTGGCGATACCCATTCCAGACTACGCTTTGAAATTATTTTGACTGAGTTCTCATTTCGAAAAGTGAACAAAATAATATGCTGAAATGTCCAAATAGATGACCGAAATTGTATGGCCCATGGGCCATGGAAAGTCTCTGCTCTTTTTAGATGTTCATTCCAATGAAGCTAGGGATAGGCGATGGTTTTGACGGAATCAGTCGTACAGGCCGTAAAGTTCTGTCGTTCGGAATACCCCGAATCTTTTAGAGGTTACATGATTAGAAAACAAATTCCGAATGTCCCGATCTGGTAAGCGACGCTCTGATTGATCGGATGAAAGGTCGTTGTGACGAGACCCGAAATGGGAATTCCTCAGATCTTTGTTTAGCGGTAGCGAGAGGTAAGATCTGATGTTTAGAGATGTGTCACTGTGTTATAGTACATGGTAATAAAAACGACAAATCCCCCTCAATATTCAATAGAAAACTCTGCTACAAGCAGAGTCGATTGTACGATTCCAACTATATCATGAGCATGTGTTTATGAATCACTATCAAATAGTCATGATACGAGACGTTCGCCTAAAGGTGTGCGTATTCTGCCCCACCGGTGGCACCCGTCACACACACATGCAAAGGTAAACACCTTCTATCATCACTATTTGAGAGTGACTCATAAATACATGCTTACGATATACTCGGAATTGTACAATGGAATCTGTTTGTAGCAGAGACTTCTTATGATTATGGAAATGGTTTTGTCGCCTTATATTTATACTTCAATGATTTTGATGAGCATGAGCTGTTTGCAGCAAAATGAGGTGACTTTTAGGCTGTATGTCTTAGGAATGCTTACTTTGGTGTGCGCTTTATAAGTATCCATCAAAGAAATTACCTGACCCGATGTCTTTCTGTAACTTGTATCGGCATTGTGCAGAAACAATGACTTATAAAAACATTACCTTTTGAAGAACCATGCATTTGTTCCCTTTGTAGAGACAAAGTAAAGGGATAATACTAAAACGGTGCAATAAAAAATACACATGGGCGTCAAACAATGATACACTTACAACGAGCGTTTGAAAATGTTCATATTCACGAAGGCAATTAACGCCCCTCAAATAAACCTCAGACTGACAAAGATACGGATGTATCACTCCTCCATATTGCCTTACAACATTGATGCAGGATCCAGTTCAGATCCGTTTATATTAAGACAATGATATTTATAAAGTGGGCTGAAAACAATGGAATACTCACAATGAACGTTTAAAAATGTCCATATACACGAAGGCAATTAACACTCCACAAACAAACATCAGAAAGACAAAGATTTGGATATTACGCTCCTCAATAGTGCCCTACAACTTCGATCCCAGATACCGTTTAGTTTAAGACAATGGCTAATTATATCGTGATCTGAAAACAATGATATACTTACAATGAGCGTTTGAACATGTCCATATCCACGAAGGCAATTAACACTCCACAAACAAACATCAGAAAGACAAAGATACGGATATTACGCTCCTCAATAGTGCCCTACAACGTTGATACCAGATACCGTTTAGATTAAGACAGTGGCTTATTGTATCGTGATCTGAAAACAATGATATACTTACAAGGACCGTTTGAACATGTCCATATCCACGAAGGCAATTAACACTCCACAAACAAACATCAGACAGACAAATATACGAATTTTACGCTCCTTCATATTGCCCTACAACTTCGATCCCAGATCCCTTTAAACTAAGACTGATTCGTGAGGCTACCGTATGCATTATATGTCAAAATAATCGAAGAGTGGGTTAAATATCAGCGTACAAACACCTGCCATCGCGGAAGAGAAATGTCGTTAAACATGGATGTTTGAAGGATGTGTGTGTTGGCGTATTGGCAATGAGGATGAAAATATTGCGCGTGGAAACACGTCACACGTAACAGTCACCGTCAGTCAGAAGGCAGGGCGGGACAACTTAGGAATGGCCAGGAGTCCGAACTTGACCACACAGAAGGAAGCGAGCTACAAAAACATGTTTTATATCACTGGAAAGCTCTCGAGGAGACGAATCCAAATAATTGTGTCCCAGTGTGTTCACATGTTCGTAAGCTCAAAAATTGGCTCCGAAAATGCATTACTGCAGACATTTCTGGCAGAATTTTTTTTTTCTGCAGAAATTTCTGGCAGTATTTTTTTTTTCTACAGAAATTTCTTGCAGAAATTATTTTTTTTCTACAGAAATTTCTGGCAGAATTTTTTTCTGCAGTAATATTTAGCAGAATTATTTTAATTCAGGAGAAATAAGATTCAATCATTGGATAGGTTAACCTGGAGTTGCTTCAAATGACCTTTTTCCTCAAAACAAACATTTTTAGTTCACATGATTACAAGCAATAAAATGAAACTAATTTCGTGAGATATTTCAAAAAATTATTTATTCACATGCTATAGTACAAGACAATTCCTTGGGAGACTTTGCACTTTTCATTCTCATGAATGAGTCGTATTTTCTTGGGTGAGGTGATTTTTTCAGAGATGGGTCCTGTCACGAAAGAAAATAGATGTATAGATGAGTGGATCCATATTGTCTAATATAATGGATAATGGCAGCCTATACGCAGCTAGAGTTTAACTTTACAATAGAGCCTGCGGAATAAAATGTATTACGAATGTAAATAGTGTGCTTTACTTACGTTTTCTTCTCAACATACTTGAAATGAATTCTTTTTTTCGTCTGGTCATTGAAAGCTATGTGCACATATTCTGAAAAGATATGAAAAAAACATTAAAATGCTTTTCATTTCGGTATAACACATTCCACAAGCTTTAGACACATGTAAGATAAGTGAGGTGAGTTGAAATTGGGTTGAATGTCGCGTCCAAGATAATTGCACTTATATAGCGATGTGCGTGCGTGCGTGCGTGTGTGTGTGTGTGTGCGTGCGTGCTTGTACTAGTCGTCTGCATCTTCCGTTTTGTACAGGTCACTCCATAAGTTGTCAGTGACTGCATACTTGTGTAGGGGGCACTCAATGTTCACACTGTCATGAAGCTGAAATTATATAAGGATGAGTATACTGCGAAAATTACATTGGATTAATTCGTTAAAAGAGACTTATGTATCATGTTTGGGAGAGGCATTCAGATAAGCAAAATTTGCTTGTTTGCCAATCCCTCCACTTTTGGAAATAGATATGTTTATATCAAGAGACCTCTAAACCATAACCGAACTCAAAACTAACCCCATGTGTCGTAAATGGGTGCTCTAAGGTAAAAGGATGGTAAACACGTGTTTTATTGGCAAGGGATACTCAACCCTTATGATCGGAAAGGGGGTCCAAGGACAAAGGAGAGACCAGACCTACTACCCAGAGGGGCCAGCCTGGTATAAGACTTATAGTCCGGCAGAGAAATGAATATTTTCCCGCAACCCAGAATTAGGGGATAAAGTTTTTTTTATTGCTGGATTTGTTTAATGATGTACTCTAGATTATGAAACTGACTGATGACACTCTGTCATCTTTGGGCATTTTGAAATATTCAAGATGGCCGACAAGATGGCCGCCAAAACATGAAAATATCGCTTCCTTGCTAACAGTATGGAATATGATACCACTTTTGGAGCAAATCACTAATATTTTGCTTTCAACTAATTAGAATATGGTATTCTAAATGAACTGGTATCATTTAAAACATAATTTGATTCTTAAATAAGCAAGATAACTGGCAAAATGCCTGTCGAAACATTATAAAGTCAACAAGCACGGCATTCTTTTTAAGGATAATTGATTATTCTGAACTTTCAAAAATGAATATTGGCTCAAGGTTTTCTTCACATACATACAATCAGTTTAGGTTTCTTCCTCATCATCAATAACACAGTTAGTGAGTTGGTTGAAGCAGACACTGGAGCTACAATGTAATAGGAGAAGGCCTCGTAAGTGTGTCACTTGTGCCTAATCCTTTTGGTTTTCCGAAATAAAATATGTTTAAATCAATACCGCTGCTGGTAGTTTAATTTGTGAAAAATAGCAGGACATTCAGCTGTCGGGGCTATGGGTCAGTGGGTGATTGACGATTTGTGATGGCGCCAGCTGGGGTAGGAGACGACACACTTTCCAAATTATTTCTCAACCTTATCTCATGCTAATTCAACAAGAGACACAGAGACACATAGTTTTTGATAGAGGCTACTTGTTATAATATATTGTTGATTAAAATATGTAAAACTATGTATCTCTGGCTGTCTTGTCATCCCTTCATTCAGTAAAGTGGACTGTTCCAACTACCCACATTACCTAATTATAAATCTCATCCAGGCATGGCATACCCACATCACCTAATTGTATTTTGGTACCTTGTGGGGAGAAATTAGGCGATCTGGGAGGACACCGTTATATCATCTAACATGGCCAACTCTGCTCTTAAGTAAACGAGAACCTAATCAGTGAGGGGTCCTTTATCATCCATATTTGACTGCTTATAAAAATCTTATATCTCTCCTCACAGCTGGTTATTATATATTTTTGCTGCTGAATATTCGAAACAGAGTGATTGAGTTGGTACAACACATGTATACGGTTCCATTTTAAATGACTGCAGCGCTCCATTATGAAAACAAGTTGTTATAACGCCGCTCTCAGCAGCATTCCAGTGATATATGACGGCGGTCTGTTGTATATGAAATAAATGCAAATTGAATCTTGAAACTTGAAAGTTGCAGCTTTTCCGCAAATCAGTATCACATGCAGTATACAGTATATCAAGTGCAATATACTGTATACAACATGCAGTATACAGTGTGTCGCGAGCTCCGCGCTGGGCTGGAGCACACATTTCCTGCCCCTCTCCCTTCTGCAAACACCTCATGGGGGGTGTAATGAGGTCACAGGTC